TCATTTAAGGCCTTTATTTCCTTGTTAGGTTTTCTGTGTGGAATGCCCATCCATTAGTGTCAGCAGTGTGTTAAAGGCTCTGACAATAACTGTATTTTTGTTAATATGCTGTTTTAGATCTGTTAATAGTTCTTTTATATAACTAGGTGTCCCTGTGTTAGGTGCATAAATATTGATGGTAGCTGCATCTTCCTCATGAATTGTTCCCTTGATAATTAGGTAGTTTCCATCTCTGTTTTTTTTGGCTGGAAGTCTAATTTATCAGATATGAGAATAGTAGTTCTTGCATTTCTGAGTTACTGGCTGAAGGCACCCTGTGCCAATCTTTCACTTTAAGTTAACTTTTGTCTTTTGGTTTTAAATGTGTTCTGCAAACAAAGTACAGATGACTGAAACTTTTTAACCCAATCTATCACCTGTGCCTTTTTAATTCATGAATTCATACCATTCACATTTAGATAATATGAGGCTTATTTACTGTCATTCTGGTTTTTTAGATTGTTTTGTCTTTCTGTTGTTTCTTTTTCCATTTGTTTCTTCTTTCTGCTCTTTCATTTAAATAGCTTTCCCTAGCCATTCATTCATTTTCTTAACTGTCTTAAAAACTCCTTTATAAGCTGGTGTCAACTCAATGAATTTGAACTATACAGAGTCTCTCCTTTTCTTTCCTCCCTTTACTGTTCTGTCACATTCTTGATCATGTTGCTGATTTTAATTTCACATTGTCATTTTACTCAGGGTTTTGAGTTTTCTTTTCTTTTCTTATAGTAGAACTACTTTCAACATTTCTTGTAGGGCAGTTCTGGTAATGATAAACTCCATTAATGTCTGTCTGTCTGGGAAGGCCTTTATTTCACCTTCATATTTGAATAGTAATTTTTGCAAAAGATTCTTCTTGGCGGGCAGTTCTTGTCCTTTAGAATTGTGAACATTTCATTCCACTTTCTTCTTGCCTGGTGGGTGACTGGAGCAGAACCCACCGTAATTTGGATGTCTTAGTGCCTTACCTTCTTTTTCTGATTGACAGTAAAACTTTTTATCTTTGACTTTTGATAACTTAACAATGATGTGCCTTGGTATAGGTCATTTTTAATTTAGAGATTTTGGTGTTCTTTTTTGTTTCCTGGATATCCATGCTTATTTCACTCTAGTTTGAGAAATTCTCAGCTATTATATATTTGATTTGAGTTTCCTTTCTCTCTCTCTTCACCTTCTGCTATACCTATTGTCCTTATGTTTCTTTTTCTAATTGAGTCTGATATTTCTCAGTTTCCTTGTTTTTCATCAATCTTGTTTCTCTCCCTTTCCAACATGGGGTACAGGCCAGAGATGCAGGGGGTGAGAGGATTCACTAGAGACAGAGTGGGGAACAGAACAGGCAGACTGAATGAAATACACTGCTGAAGGGAGCAGCGGACGAGTCAGGAGAGGTCTGCTGCGCCATGTGAGTTGCTCCCTGGCTGGCTGGTGATCGACTGGTGCTGCAGAGACTGTGGATTGCTTCATAGTATGGTGCTTAACCCCTTGCGCCACCAGGGAGGCCCCATTTGAGTCTTTTATTTCTAAAATTCTCTATTCTGCCATTTAATTCTACTTAAAATTTTTTTCCCACATTTGTCTTCATTTTATTCAGTCTTTTTTTGTGGTCTTCTCTTTTTGATTTTCCATCTCTTTTTGTTTTTCCATCTTGTTTTCAAATGTTATTTCTTCCTAGCCATGCATATTATCTTACTTGCTTTCTTTCTCTCCCCTCCCCCTTTTTTTTTGAGGGGGGAATTCCTCCTTTAAAAAAATCTTTTCAATTGTTATTGAAGTACCATCGTTTTACATCCTCACTAGTGTTTTGACAGTGTAGGATTCGCCTCCCCCTCAAAGGTGTAGTCACTGTTGCCCTCCCTATACCAAAGCACCCCTAGTCCTCTCCTCCAATTCAAAGTGTTCTTCCCCAATCCCCAGCCCTCTGCTTTCACCCTTCTCCCTCTCTCCCCCACCTCCAAAGGCAAAGGTCAATGTTCAGTTTTCAGGGCTTGGTTCTGAAGTTTGACTTTGAACCACTGTTTGGTTTTTCTATATTTATTCCATATGTAAGTAACAGCTGGTATATACCTTTCTCCTGTCTTACTTTACTTAGTTTAGGCCTGACCAGTTTTATCCATGTTGCTGTAAATGGCATGATTTTATCTTTTTTAATTCCTGGTAGTATTCCACTGCGTATACATATCACATCTTCTTGATCTACTCTTCCATTTTTGGGCATTTAGGTTTTTCCCATATCTTAGCTGTTGTAAATAGTGCTGCTATAAACATGGGTGTCCAGTCTTCTTTTGAATTAAGAGTTTTTGTATTTTTTTGATAGATACTTAAGAGTGGGATTACTCACTTGTATGGCTGATCCATTTTTCATCTTGAGAAACCTCCACACAGCTTTCCATAAGGGCTGGACCAGTTTACATTCCCACCAACAGCTTAAGAGGGTTATTTTTTTCTCCATACACTTGCTAGCACTTATTGTTTTTAAGTCTTTTTAATATGGGCCATTTCCATTGGTGTAAGGCGGTATCTCATCGTGGCTTTGATGATGAACATTTTTTCAACATCATGTGCCTATTGGTCATCTCTATGTCTTCTTTGGAAAAGTGCCTATTTAGCTTCTCTGCCCATTTTTTTTAAAAATTGGGTTATCTGTTTTCTTTATTTGCTTTCTTACTGTTGGGGCACTACAGGTTTAATTTTGTTCATCCTCTTCTTTATATACCTTGGCAGGAGGTGGGGGCAGAAGGGTCTTAAATACTTGGTCTCAGTCTTATTGAGAAGGGTCCAATTACCCTAGAAAGCCTCTTAATCTTAGCCCAACTGTCATGCATGATAGTGGGATTTATGAACTAATCATCCCTGACTAAGTTAGGTGAATCTCCTCTAGCATACATTATCCTGCACAGATCTCTATTGTAGAACTCTGCATACTATGGTAACAACTATTGAAACTTTATGTTCTTTATATATTGGTTTCTCAAAGGCATAAGTTATGTTTTATTTCAGCATTCTCAGAACCTCATCAAGGGCCCAGTATATAAAAGACACTTAATAACATTTCTTAAATAAGTCAAGATATTTTGAGTTTAATGTATAAAATTTATAGTATACACTTTTCTTCTGAGTGTACGAAAAACTTAAAAAAAATTTCCCTTTCTCTCTTTAGGGATATTAGCTGATATAAATAAAGGCTTCTACTATAGATATCAGGTTAAATTATAAGTCTTCCTTTGCTTACCACTGGTTGGTGTTGGAAGAGGAGGAGGAGAGAGAAATTCCTGTCTCTGCTTTAATCTAAAAATATTTCACAGCTACTCTTCCCTAATTTTTGTTTTCTCATTTTCTTAGAACAAGTATAGGATTGTCAATGTTTCTTAATGAACTTAATGAGAAAATAAGAATAAAAGCTGGAGTGTTTTTGTTTTGTTTTCACAAAGTGATTATGTCTTAAACCTGAACTAGAAAGGAAAAGAAATCCAAATTCTACAACTTTATTTCAGTAATTTTAGCAAGCTCCCTGTCACTATCCGGCTTCTGTTTCTCCTAGGCACTCCTATAGTTCATAAATCTACCTATATAACAGCTAGTTTTATAGTAAATGCATAAATGAGAAAGAAGTAAGAGAGTTGTGTAGTTCCTATATTTACGGAATAACTATGAGCTGCATGGCTAGTGCATTTCTTAGAACAGTAAAAATTTCACAGGCTGATAAAAAGGTTTTTTAATTGGGGTGATCCAGCACAAGACTCTCCCTTACTTTCAGCTGCATAGACAGATACAATATAACATAACAGGTCCAGAAAGACTCACTTGCAAGATGGACCCTTAAATGGCACTGAAAACATTTCCTAAATAATAAGGTTGTCACTGCTTGTCAGCCTACTTAGATTGTACCATGAGATTGAAGATGAATACCTACTTTCTTTCCAAGCATCTCGAATTTTGGTTGAGAGAGGATGGCTATGTTACCAGCCCTTAGTGAAAACTCTGAATTCTTGAGTCTCAAATGCAGTTCCCTGTGAAGAAGCACTGCACATATGTGAAGGAATTTTGAAGTTGGTGTGCTCTCACAGGAGAGTAGAATGCAAACATAGGAAGGCTGAACATGGATTCTTCTATACGTCACCTGATGTCTTTTTTCCATTAATGATCCGACCATGTCACTGCTATAAATACAGTATGAATGTATATGAAGCTCTGTGAATCATTTCAGAGAATCATTTCAGAAAATGTATGGGTGTTACTGGAGACTCTAACGTTATCAAACAAACAAACAAACCACTACGATCACTTTACAGAGTATGCTAATGTAACTGTGCTTTATTCTGATAATATAGAATAAATATAGAATTTGAATAAATTTAGCATTATGAGAAGGTCATTATTCTTATTTGGACCAGTAACAGACATGTGCCTGGGAGCTGCTAAGCTAAGTAATTTTTGCCTGGATCTACCTTTCCTCCAATTTACTTTCTTTTGAAACTGAAAATACTAACAGAAATTTTATGTGTGCAGAAGTGATTTTAAAAATCTGAAGCTTTTAATAAAGCCATTAACGATTTCACTGAAATGCTCTATTTTAAACTTATAAAGAATGGAAGAGTTTAGTAAAATTAGTAACAAATCTGTAGTCTACCAGTCAAGTAACAATACAAAAAAACCAAAAAATCAAAACTAGCAGAGACAGTGATCCTTCCTTTAGTCTGTCATTTGCTTAAAAATTATTTATGTAAGGTAATATTCTTTACCTTTTTCTCAACACAATCACCTTAAGAACCCATTTACTTTTTCCACAAGTCACAATGTTTCTTAAAAGACAACAAATAAAAATCTCAAATCTCATCCATTAATATAGCCCTGTGTTTCAATAATTACAATTTTTCAAGTCAGTTTTAAAAAATGTATTATTCAGTTGTAATAGACTCTCCATTCACCAGGATAAAAAATTCAAAATTAAGACCACATACCTTTAGCTGTAGTTCTTTTACTGCAGAATCTCTATCCATGCATGCCTGACGAAAGGCTTCATAAGCTTTATTCAGTTGCTCGCCAATGTTTTTATCCATTCCTTCCTGTCCTGTAGCATCACTATAAAGGATGGAATAAATGATAGGTCTGGAAAATAATCAGAACAATTTGAGTAGTTAGTAAGTTTATAAATCTCATTTAAAAAATACATCTTAATTATTAAAATGCATCAGTTCTACACAATTTACCACAAATATTGTAGAACCAAGGACTTGCACATAAAGGTTTTTGAAGGCATAAAAATCTAATCTAATATCCTGATCAGAAACATGAAGGCTTATCTTTTAAAATTACATCTTCAATAATGTTCAAGGAGCAGTACTAGTCAATAAAGATGCTATTTTGAAAACAGTAAGTGTAAATGCAACTTAAAACTGCAAAAATATAAAAGGCCATTTGTCATTAATACTGTATTACAGAAGTGCACAACAGGACTAGTAATGTGGGAAGGGATTTCTTTCTATTAAACGGACAGTTACTCCCACTTACAAGGTGAATTCTTGCTACACTGAAATTAGAGCAAAATTAAATAGATAATAAATGTTTGTGGATGGAGTTCACACTGTTGTTATCACAGAGCAATTAAAATGTGTGAAAATGCTCTTATTTTAGCACAAAATCTAGGGAGAGCTGCTGTTGGATTGTACATTAAAAAAGAAAAATCATATCCCTTCAGTCCTAGGCCCCCACCCCATTAGTCTTCAACCTCCCTGCTGTTTCCGAACTACAGGTAATTTATTCAGCATAGATAACTTGGTTTTATCATCTTAGTTCGTATAATATCTCTAACCATACTCTGGTTCTAAACAGAGGGTCATCTAAAGGCTGATTCTCCCTGTCCAGCTGTAAAAACTATAATACAGATAAAGTTCTTTAATTGTTCACAGGGTATTTTAGGGGATATCAAATTATTCCATCTCTCTGTGACTGACAATCCTTCATAATTTCAGTCTCCAATCTTTTATAACATCTTTCATTTTGTCTTCAGGTCCATAATGCTTTAAAAAATTAGTATTTTTAATTAAGATAAATATAACAAAATTTACCACTTCAAAGTATACACCTGACTGGTTTTCAGTTATGTTCCATGTTGTACAACCATCACCATTGTCTAATCCCAGAACATTTTTATTACCATAAAAAAGAAGTCCTTTTCCTTTTAGCATTTAGTGTTAATTCCCCCCTTTTCCTCAACCCTCAAGCAACCACTAATCTGTTTTCTGACTCTGTGTATTTTATTTGTTTACTTGGGACATTTCATATACGACCTTTGTAACTACTTTTTTTCATGCAGCATAAAATTTCAGAGGCTCATCTGTGTGGTGGCATGTAATAGTACTTCATTGTTTTTTGTGTCTGAATAATATTACATTGTATAGATTTTGTTTTTCCATTGCTGAGTTAGTGGACACTTTTTGGGTATTTTGAATAAAGTTATGAAGAACAGTTGTATACACATAATTATGTAAACACATTCTTTTGATTCTTTTGTAAATATATTGTAAAGCAGAACTTCTGAGTTAGGTGATAATTCCCTTTAACTTTTGGATAAACCACACAAAATGTTTTCTCAGAAGCTGCACCACTTTGTATTTGCAGTAGCAATGTACAGGGGTTCCAATTTCTCGACATCTTCATTAACTCACCATCCATTTAAAAATTATAGCCATCTTAGTGGGTGTGAAGTGGCACCTCACCACAGTTTTGATTTGTATTTTCCTAATGACTAATGATGTTGAACTTCTTTCTAGTGCTTATTGGTCATTTGTACATATTCTTTGGAAAAATGTCTATTCAAATTCTTTGCCTAAAAGATCAATAGCTGGGACTACATCAAATTAAAGAGCTTCTGCACAGCAAAAAAGACAATAACAAAAACAAAGAGAAACCCCACCGACTGGGAGAACATTTTTGCACACAACACTAATGATAAAGGACTGATCACAAAAATCTACAAAGAGCTAATGAGACTCAACAAAAACAAAGAAAATAATCCAGTCAAAAAATGGGCAGAAGAGCTAAAAAGAAATTTCTCTGAAGAGGAAATGCAAATGGCCAACAGGCATATGAAAAAATGTTCAACATCACTTGTAATCAGGGAAATGTAAATCAAAACTACCATGAGATACCATCTTACACCAGTGAGAATGGCACATATTAGAAAAACTAGCAACAACAAATGTTGGCGAGGTTGTGGAGAAAAAGGAACTCTCCTGCACTGTTGGTGGGAGTGCAAACTGGTCCAACCACTATGGAGAGTTGTGTGGAGATTTCTTGACCTACTAAACATAGAGCTTCCATATGATCCAGCAATTCCACTCCTAGGTATTTACCCAAAGGACACAGAAACATCAATTCCAAAGAGCACCTGCACCCCTATGTTTATAGCAGCACTATTTACAATAGCTAAGCTTTGGAAACAGCCCAGATGCCCAAAAATAGATGACTGGATCAAGAAGATGTGGTACATATGCACCATGGAATATTACTCAGCATTCAAAAAAGATAAACACATGCAATTTGCAGCAACATGGATGGAGCTGGAAGGGATCATGCTCAGCGAAATAAGCCAGAAAGAAAAAGAAAAATGGTCTCACTCATAGCAGGAATCTAGAAAACTTAAATAAGGGACCAGGAAAAAGAATAACTATAAGAAAGAAAATATCAAAATCAATAAACAACCATGAACAAGAGACACTCTTTGGGGGGTGGGGGGCGGGGAAAGGAGGGAATGGGTAAAAATAGGGGGGTTGTAATTGTATGGGGAATATAAAAATAAAATTTAAATTAAAAAAAAAATTCTTTGCCTACCTTTTAATTGGGTGATTTGTCTTTCAACTATTTAAGAGTTCTTTATATATTCTAGAAACAAGACCTCTACTAGATTTGCAAATAATTCTTCCATTCTGTAGACTTTTTATTTAATAATGTTCTTTGACCCAGCTTTTAATTTTGATGAAATCCAATTTATCTATTTTTTTTCTTTTATTGCTTGGGCTTTTGGTGTCACACCTAAGAAAGCATCACCTAATCCAATGTTATGCAAGTTTCATTCACGTTTTCTTTTAAGAATTTTATAGTTTTTTTTTTTTTTTTTTAAATCTTTTGAGCTGTGCTAAGGAGCTTTGACTCACACTGTTAAGGAATCGGTGAAGATCAGCTCTCTAATGTCAGTCTGCATCAGCATTACCCAGAGAGCTTCTTAAAAAAGAGATGCCGGGGCGCATCCTGGTGGTTGTGATTTAGTTGTTCTAGAGTGGGGCCTAAGAGTTTTCATTTCTAACATGGTCTTAGGCAGTACTGATGCTACCATCTGGGGACCACATTCTCAGACCCATTGGTACAGAGAATGGATTAAAAGAGGTGAGAAAACTGGAGATGGGGAGACCAGTTGGGTGGCAATGGTCTACCTGTGCTGAGAAACCGTCACTTAGAGTGGATAGATTAGTTGCTTGAAGTCCCTGTCTCTTCACTCTTATTCCACTGTCCCTGGTATGTGTGTCCTGACCCAACAAACACATTTTATTTAAAAAGTCTTTTTGTAACCATCCTTTACATTAATAATTTTTTATTTAATTTTTTCTTTTAAAATTAGAAAACTTAATTATAAAAATTTAGTCTTGATTCATATTGAGTTAATCTGATATGGTTTGAGGTAGAGGTCCAGATCCCTACTTTCACATTGGCTATTCAGCTGTCCTTGTCCCATCTGTTGAAAATCAGCTCACCATAAATCACAATGTTCTTTTAAATACCTAAGTAACATTTCAATACCCTCAACCAAAGCCTTCCATTTAAAGATAATGCTCATTCATTTTCCAGGTTTAAAGACAATTTCAAATTTCTTATTATGAGGATTACAGTGTCATTACTTTCTGAAGAAATGAGAGAATGAAAATTTACATATTTTACTTAGGAAGTTTGCTTCTGCCTCTGATGGATGAAAAGATGAAATGCTGTTAGGATAATTAACATTGTAAGAACCTCTGATATGCCACAGACACTAAAGAAACACAGACACTAAGGAAACATAAGTAGTCAGCATTAACATGATGTAAGGGTTAGCTGATAATTCCCATTAACTTTTGGAGTACTTTAGGCACTGTATCATTTAAAGAAGGAGTTAAAGAAGGAGTTTGTAAGTCATTTACAAAAAATGAACATGAGATTAAAATCAAGTATATAAGCAGGGAAGGAAAAACAAAGATCAGTGGCCATAGGGATTCTCATACAGTAATTTGCTAATGTAGAAATTGTATGTTTTAAGAGTTAAGTGCCTAAGTTATGTATCACTGTTCATGAGAAAACCATACCTGTATTTTAAAATGAATTAGACCCATCTAATTCTCTATTTTGTTCTATCACTGACTGACCCTATGACTTTATAGTTCAAGGTCACTAAATCTTTTAGAACCTACATTACTATGTGTCCAAAGCAAAAAAGATATTTGGACTCAATTTCTAAGAAACTTCTTTGTTCTAAAGTTCTTGAGTCTGTGAGTCTAAAAATGTAATGTCTGTTCTATCAAGAAGGGGCAATCTTGTTTTTAAAAATACAAATGCAGTACTAAAAATAGCTGCATCATATGTAAGTGAATCATGTGGTGCCTTCACTTCAGGTCTTTGAATTAGATCACACAAATGTCACTAAGAGGAATTTCCAAGTGAATTCCACGTGGAAGCATCCTAGTTCCTGAAATAAGAATGTACGCTGAGGACATATGATTCGGGTCAATAAAACAGAATGATACATTTAATCCTATCTCACAACAAAGAAGAGAAATGGGTGATAGATCCGTGACACCTATCAGAGAAAAAGGAAAATAGTCTCTGGGACCCAACTAATTAAATTGGACAGATTTCAAATATTAACACCCTGTACTTTAAAGATGCTTGTTGCTCCATTTTTTGAGCATTTGTTAAGTGTAAAATTAATTTCACAATTTAAGAAGCAGTCATATTTCAATTACATTTTGGTATGCCTTCTGCAAAATTTGCCAGGCTCCAGGGAAGTGTTTTTATTTGTAGCAAATATGCTTAAATCCAAATCCCACTTTTTGGTTGGCTGCCTTTTGTTACCCATTCTC